GACGGGCCGTCACGGCACCTCCGCGGAGCAGGCGCCGCCCGCGCCGCGTTCCAGCCGTCCTACCTCCGCGGGGAACTCGGCCAGGAAGGAGATGCCCATTTTCTGGCACTGGGTGGTCAAGCCTTCGAAGAGGGGCTTGTTGGGGCGCTTGGGGTAGTGCACGGTCGGCTCGTAGCCCTGCGAGGAGGGCAGGGAGCTGAGCGCGGCCGCGGGGACGCTCCGGCGCTCCCGGCATTCCCGGCCGCGGCAGCAGGAGACTCACAAACATCTTGAGGTGCCGGGCGCACACCAAGCCGTCGCCTCCGTTGTTGCCCGGCCCGCACACGACGAGCACCGTGGGCCGGCTCGTGGTGAAGGAGTCCGGTGGGTAAGCCTGGAGAGAGGGGGGAAGATGTTCTCCTCCAAGGCGGAGTATCCCGGGATAGGCGGGATGCTCCGGCCGGGATGCGGGGGTTGCCCACCTTAGCGATGGCCGTGGCGCAGCTCAGCCCTGCCAGCTCCATCAGCTGGTCCACGCTGAACTTGTACTCGTTGAAGAGCTCCTGGTCGATGGCCTGAGCCTCGGCCTGCCTGGGGACAGGGAGGGCACCATGGGGATGGGGTGGGCACCGTGGGGATGGGGACAGGGACGGGACAGGCACTGTGGGGATGGGGAGGGCACCGTGGGGACGGGGATGGGGACAGGACGGGCACCGTGGGGATGGGACAGGGACAGGACAGACACTGTGGGGACGGGGATGGGGACAGGACAGGCACTGTGGGGACAGGGGGGGGGCGGGGAGGGGGACAGGACAGGCACTGTGGGGACAGGGAGGGCACCATGGAGATGGGATAGGACAGGACAAGCACCATGAGGATGGGATGGGCACTGTGGGGATGGTGACAGGGACAGGAAAGACACCATGGGGATGGGGAGGGCACCGTGGGGATGGGGAGGGGGACGGGACGGGCACTGTGGGGATGGGACAGACCCATGGGGACAGGGACAGGACAGGCACCGTGGGGACAGGGAGGGCACCGTGGGGGTGGGACGTGGACGAGACGGGCACCATGGGGATGGGTACAGGGATGGGACAGGCACCGTGGGGATGGGGTGGGCACTGTGGGGACGGAGTGGGCACCATGGGGATGGGACAGGCATGGTGGGGACAGACTGGCATAGGGCACTGCGGGAAGCCTTTGGGCAGGGGGGCCACCTGGGTCCCCCCAGCAGGGAGGGCCGGCAAGTGAACAGGGTTGGGGCAGAAGAGGGGACGATGCTGGGCAGGGGAGGCCTGGGGAG